TTGGGGGAAACCGTCAGCGAGGGAATTGTGTCGCAAAATCCATTTAGGGAAATCTTTCTGACGGAAAATTGTGTGGAGAATAGTCCATTTTGAGAGAAAACGGTGTCTCAAAATTAGTTTTGGGCCAGCCTTTTTTTTTTTGAGAGAAAATTGTGTTGTAAAATCCATTTGGGGAAATCTTTGGAGAGCAAACCGTGTCTCGAAATCCATTTTGGGGGAATCTTGGAGGGCAAATTGCGTCGAAAAATCCATTTGGGAGACTTGAGAGCAGATTGAATTTTCAATCGAGACAATGTCTGAAATTGGGGAAGCCTACGAGCAAATAACGAAGGAAAAAAAATCTAACTGGGGAAACCTTGGAGAGTAAATTGTCTTCATTGAGATGTCAAAAACCTGAAAAATCTGATCGGGGAATCAAATTGTGTAAAGTTTCAACCTCAGTGTTTCAGAAGAAAAAGTTTTCAAAGTCAATTTGATGCGTCAAAAGAAAGACGTTTCTGAAATGAAATCTTCCAGCAAAGCGGGGGAAAAGAATTGAGTTGATAGCAAAGCTTGAGAAAATAGTATTTTTTGGGAAACAGTGAAATGTATTTTCGAGGAGGAGGAAACAGCAGCTTGCAACAAAGAAAATGTGTGCATTTACATGGAAGCAAACAATCAAAAACTGAAATGGGGCAGTTTCTTCTCGAAGATGAATAAAACAGTTCATTGCAAAATACACACAATTATTTGTGGAAAAGCAACGTTGTCACTGAAACATCAATTCAGTTTTTTTAAAAGGAAGCAGTTCGCTGTGGTGACAAAAAAAGTTCTTAACATGAAAAGGAAGAGACGACAAAATATGACCTCAACCTAAGAGAGAAAAATTATCTGCCGAGACGCCATCACGTCACTTGAAGCCAGCAACACTTTAGAAAAGTTTTTTTCGAATCAGACAAAAACAAGTTCTCAGAATTTTTTAAATTACTTTAAATACTGGACAATCGAGACATTTTCAAAT